TCCTCCATCCCACAGCACTCACCCCACCTCCAGCCCCCCCATCCGCACGGCACAGTCTCTGCCCGCACCCACCGTCCCAGGCACTGGACTCCACCCAGGCGGCTGCATTGAAGAGCGAGGCTGTGCCCCCGTAGCAGGCGTTGGTGGTGTCAATGCCCTCCACATCAGTGTTGCCCGAGTCATGGAAGAGCTGCATGAGGACGGTCTTGACGGCCTTGGACTTGTCGATGACTGTCTCGGTGCCCACCTCCAGGCGCCCGATGGAGTCCCAGGAGAGGCGCCCGCGCTCCACCAGCCGCTGCACCACCGTCAGGCACAGGGAGTTGATGTCCTCATGGGCGGCGCAGAAGCCCATCTGCTGCTGGCCCAAGCCCCGTGTGTACTTGCCAGCCTCCACGCCGTCGTACCGCTCCAGCTCCTCCTGCTCCACATACTGGGCAGGGAAGTACACCTCCAGCGCCAGGATGCCCACATCCTTGGGCCAGGCACCCGTCCCGGTGGCACTGGAGAGGCTGAGGGGCAGAGGGAGTGGCAATGGTCCCGTGGTGGCCCAGAGCCTTGGGGACAGGGGGTGGCCCCAGGGAGATGCCACCAGTGAGCACCCCAGGCCATGAGCAGCACCCCAAATCCCCACTGGTTCCCTGTGCCCGGTGGTACTGCGGGAAGAAAGGAGAGCATCCCTTTCCCCAGCAAGGTTTAAGAGCAGTGCCAGCTTCCCTATCCACCCCCCCAGTTATGCCTCCATCCCACCCGATCCGTGTGGGTGCTCACCATGCCGCCTGCACGGCCATGGGGTGCTGCGCCGCTCGGGGTGCCTGCTGCAGTGCCACCGGTGCCCACCTCGCCCCCCAGCAGCGCACGGCACGGCCAACCAAGCGCAGCATCTTCACCCCGGCTGCTGCACGAACGGTGAACGGCGGGACGGACCCTGCATGGTGCTTTTATAAACTGCGCCGGCGGCACGGCTCAGCCTTCCCGGCCCTTATCACCGCGCAGGGACCCGGCGCTCAAAGGTCACCGAGCACCAGCCAACACGACAGGGACAGTGGAGCAAGCGCTGGCTTTGGAGGGGGAACTTGCAAGATGTCTCTGTCTTGTGCTTCAGAGTCTGGGGACACGCTTGGCCGGAGCAGGGGCTGAGCAGCATGACAGGCTCTCCTGCACTCCCGACTCCCCGCGCCATGGGACAGCAGCAGCTCCAGTTCCCGCCACTCGCCAGCACGTCCATGGTCACCGTGCGGTGTGCAAGGTGCTTTGTGGCCTCTCCGACTGCCCCCGTGGCCCTGGAGTGGGAGCAGAGGGCAGCCAGGGCTTCAGCGCTGGCACCGTCAGTGCCGCACGGGATGTGGTCCACCTCTGTCATGTGCCGTGGCACCGCGGGGGGAGAAAACCCCTCGAGCTGGGTGGAGGCAGAGCCATCTCCAAAACACCAGAGCAAACAGCCACGTGATGCCTGTGGCAACACTGCAGTGACACGAGAAGGGACCTTTGGTCCCAGTGCTGCTGTCAACATGGCCACAGGGCAGCACCCCAGCCCTCAGACCCCTACAGAGCCATCTGCACCCAGGGGGGGTCTCGTCCCCAAACCTGCATGCCCACGACAGCCCCCATCCCCACCCACATCTGTGCCCCAGGTCTGCTCCATGCCTGCACCCTGGGGACACTCCTGTCCCATTTGGCACCAGAGGGCTGGAGATGAGCAAACATCAGTGTCCAGCCAGGAGAGCCACTGGCCCCATGGTTCCCAGGGACTCACTCCCAAATGGCTCCGCTGACATTGGCAGCACCGAAGGCCCCGGAGGCTGGGAAGTTTGGAGAGATGCAGAAGCACCAGCACCAAGCTTGCACAGCACTTGCATGCTGCTGGTTTTATAGACGTATGTTTTTTAGGGGCTGAGGGGAGAGGAGCAGAGGTGGCAAGGAAGGAGCATGGCTGGTGCGGGGTCCCCCATGGTCCTGGGCTGTGTGCTCAGCTCAAGGGGGTGAACTTGCAGATGTAGTGATGCTGCTGGGTGCAGTTGGC